AATTATATCATGTTTGGTGTCATTTTAATCAGGAAATCTAGACAAAAAGAACAGTAAAAGTTTCATGAAAAAATAGTAAGAAATAAGAAAGTTGCAATCTTTTCCTTTGCTTGCATTAGTATGTGTCTCACCGATATTCGATCCTCGTCGTTCGACGATCGATCGTGTTTCATTCTTGACTGACTTCGAGGGGGATCCCCCAGTAGTGGGGATAGAATTTTAACATTTACGGTAGAGATCTTTTTAACATTTACAGAGTGAATACTGTAGGTGTTATTACTTGTACTTGTTATTACTTGTACTTCGATACGTTTTTGCACTAACGAACGTTCGAATCACGATGTTTCAAGGAAAAGAGTGTTAGTAATTAAATATTAAAAAAGTATAAAATATTAAAAATTCATCAAAAACTCTCCAGCTTCTCGACAAGGAATATTTCAAATGCACTACACGCTGGATCGCCTTGAGTCGATGTAAATGTTTTTTTTCATCGTTATAATATTTAACAAGAATAATTGTCGATATTCTATCTATTATTCTTTTGTGATAAACTCGATTTATCCTGATTACCCGAATGAGGATTAACTGATTTATTCTTTATCCATTAATGAATGATAATTCAACAACACTCTGTTCGATTTAATTTTCGTGTAATATTTTGCATCATTATAATATTTCACAAGAATAATTTTCGAAATTCTATCTATTATTCTCTTGTGATAAATCCGATTTATCTTGATTACCCGAATAAGGATTAACTAATTTATTTTTTATTCATGAATGAAGGATCATTCAACACACTATTCTACTTAACTTTCATGTAATAGATTCCTATTGTACCGACGCGATATGCTTGTTCGCGACCACAGTCGTCACACTCGAAACTGTCGCTCAGGCAGTTGGGTACACGATCGCTCTCATTGGTTAGTGTTTTTCGTTGATAACTCGAAAACGAAGCCTCAACCAATAGTTTCGCAAAGAAAAAAGTTATTTAGAATCGTCCCACTTACCACTGCTTTTCTTACAAGACTTCTAGAACTATACGTATGTCAATTGTATCAATAGAGCAGTATGTGTTAAACCGTTTTGGGATATAAATCGTTTCGAGGTAAGTGAATTTAATTGAATTCGATAATCATATTCAGACAAATATTGTAATTAATATATTTTTATTTTGTGTTTTATTATAGTAAATGATATTTTTATGTTACACTTTGATACTTCCTTAAGTATTACGTATTATCTAATGTGTTTTTATTTTTCTTTGATTATTTTCGGACTGTTCTGCATTTGTAATTAATAAAAAAAAAAAATAATTAAGATTGTATAAATTAAAAAGTGTTTAATAGTCAAATAATTAAAAAAATTCTTTGCTAAAATAAAAATAAGAACAAATATCAGTTTACAATTTTATTGAATGATTTGAAAACGCCTTTGTAAGATTTTTTTGTTGTTATATGCTCATTGTTTATTTAATTTTATAGGTTTTCAATCAATGAGGACTTGGTAAACATTGGAGTAAAATGAATGCCATTAAACTTTTACTATAGATTCGTGATCATTGTAGCTTTCTGCTATTATGTGGCAGAAAATCATGATTTTTGAAAGTAACATGGTAATTCTGGACTCAAATCTGTGCCACAATTTGGTAACATTATGCATATGCAACTAGAAAAGATATCGACCAAGTATTGATGAAATATTATAAACAGTACAAAATCATTGACATCGTAATTTTTGTTTTCTGCAGCTGGGTTTGAAACCCATGCATCAACGGTGACTTATAGCTTATATGAATTGACTCGGAATCAAGACAAAACAGGATGTGAGAAGAAATTAAAGAGTATTGCGCACAGAATAATGGAGAATCGTTGTACGAGGATATTGAGAAAATGCCAACTCTGGATGTAATATTCGAAGGTTTGTATAAATGTTAAGACCCAGAATGAACATCAAAATCTTGCGAAGTCATATGACAGATATGTGGCAATTGAGAGGAATCAAAATGGCGGCAGTTGACGCTGATCAGTTACCTTTACTTTCTTGATCTATCTATCGTCTCATAAAAAATTTTATTAATAATAAAATTATATCTATATATTTCTATTGTCTTATAAAAAATTTTACGAACGATTTGTATTAAAAATGTGACATACATTTTTGGATTATAATGACATTTGAAAACTAATGTTAATTTGCGAACCATCACGGTTCATTTTTTCGAGACGTCAATCTCATTTAAGAATTTCCGATAACATCTCATTTTGAAATTGTGGGTGATTTACAGATTAGTAATTTACACCTTATCTTTTTCATGGACTCAACGAAAATAGTCCAACAGCGACAAATATCAGGATCTATTTTTAGTAGTTAAATAACATCGCTATTTTATAAAACTCACTGCTGAACTTTGATTGCAGATATTTTTATTAATTCATACATTGTACAACTTATAATACAGCTTTACTGATTCCATATATTATAATATATTATATTGTCGTGATACTTGATTGATATGCAAAATTATATATGTAAAATTAAAATAAACATTGAGGAAGTATCTGCGAAGATCAATTCTATTTTTCAGTAGGGACATCTGTTCATATTGAGTGCATATCTATTTATTTAATAATTTCTCTATACATTCATGGTTTTTCAAGAACACTCAGGAAATATCCATATTGGGAATGACACTTTTTCGTCTTTCGACATCTTGAGTTATTTCACTTTTGCGTAATTGTGAAATATGTAATGTAAAACTTCATGTTTCGAAGAAAATTATTTGGTACCTATTTGTGCGTTATGAAAAGAAACATATTTATTGTTAACTCTCTTGCGAAATAAAAATTATTGCTTTCGCTTGTGCAAGAAAAGCTATGGATTTAAATATTTACATCCTAGTTGTCCAATTCTGTACATATCTACACAAATAATACGTGAAATTATTGACTAGCAGTGAAATGACACACAGTCGTGTTTTCATGAAAATTATGAAGCATTGTAGCACTGTTTATGCTGTTATTTATAGTATTAAATAGGTACTATTAATGACTGCAAACTATTATATTAAGAAGGTCATGTTTTATAAGCAATCTTGAATTATTTAACATCTTGAAAAAAAAAAGAAGGCAGATCAGTACACCGTATTGGAAAAAGATAAATAGGCAAAACAAATAGATAGATACTTTGCCTGGGATTTTCGGATTACAATTCCGTGTGACCTTGAAGACAAAGGCATCTCTGCCGATAATGTAGAGAATGACATCAGAGCAGAAAACACGAATATTTCTTGATTATTCAAACTAAATCATTGTTCTCATAACAATGCCATTCCAGTAATGATTCAAAAGCAGAAGCCAAGCAACCAAAGCAAATACATGTAAATAGGAAATACACAAATTTAAGAATTTGAGAAAATACGAATGTTATTTAGATATAACGTCGAAGAAATATTTATTGCAACAGTAAATTTTGATTATATTCGATGATCGCCAAAAGTAAAACAGTCATTACAAATAATTTCGTTAAAAGAATTTTGAATTGTTAGTCATTAGCAGCAATTAGGAAAGTATTATCATCTGTTTAAGCAACCAAGACGGAGTCTTCGGGAAGTAAACTGAATTCGGTGTCTGCGAGGTATGTCTGTTGTTGTTTGATCCAGGACACGAAAGATGACACTCTGGTGTAGACATCAGGCTTTCCAACACCGCAAGGTATTCCGAAGGATACCACACCAACTTGGACACCGTTGACCACAAGAGGACCACCAGAGTCACCCTAAAAATTATGAAAAATGTGTGAAAGATAAGTTTTATTTCACTTGTATTACGTGGGGTAGAAAATGAGTTATATTTCTACTTACATTGCATGCACCTTCTCCGTATTTGGTGAAAGTACAGATGTGAGAGCTCCTCACGTTGCTGTGCGTCTTCTTGCACTGTGCCACACTCAGAACGTTCAAGTTTATGTACTGCAGATTGTTTGGAATATTACCGCCAGCCTGCACAGACAAATTTAATTAAACCTTTCATTAACGACATTCACTTTCAATCGAACGAGCAGTTATTACATATTTTTCTGCAACCTTTGTTTTGAGAGTGAGTTTAATGATTTTATAGAATTTAGGCAAATTTTTCATTTTCGGAGATGATACGAACTAGACATCTACTTTGAAAATATTTGTTGTGATGCAATATTACAGTTCAAATTATTTTTTTCCAAATTATGTCACTACAGACTACATGTCGCTACATCCATTTTTATTTCAAAACAAATAATACATCGGTGTACATATTGTATATAAGAAACATTTAAATATAACACAAATAATAAGTTTAAACATCAATCTTTGTTAAAACACTGTATCTCAAGTTAATCTCTCTTAATTTTACATTATTTATATTTGTAAGCTCAATAGGGGATCTCGACATATCAGGAAGCAAAGCAAAATATAAATAAAGATAATTCCAAGTTATTATGCAATGAATAAATGAGTAAATTCCTATTCAACAGGTGATAATCCATTTTTTTCAAAGAAGATGATAAAGAATATATCCTCATTAATTGACGAGTTACATTAAAATAATCAGAATGCGACACTTACTTGCACTCTTCCCCATCCAGACAAAATGCAGGCTGATCCATCATATGAGTTGCTGCCTGAGGCCAATGAGATCGGTTTGACCAAATTGTTGAAGGCAATGTTTCTGTCGACACGGATCACAGCTACATCGTTGACAAGATAGTATTCATCGTAGTCCTTATGGTATACGGCCTTCTCCACTCCGTAAGAAACTCCACCAGAGTTCAACTGGTTCGTTCCAACTACGACGCTCATGGCCTTCAGGTTGTTCATTCTATTTGGGAATTCAGAATTTTAGAAGTGTAGGAGCTTGAAAATCTGTCACTTTTTAAATTTGCAATTTAAGAAATTTGATGCCTTGATAATTTAGGGCTGTTGGTCTTTGGAAACTTAGAAGTATAAGAACTTAAAAATTTGGTACAGTGTTAGTTTTGCAATTTTGTGAAATAGCACGTTGGTAATTCACGATTGTAGGTATTTAGAACCTTGAAAGTTTTAGAACTTGAAAATTTGGTACATTGATAGTTTTGAAACAGTGAGAATTTAGTACGGTGGTGATTTGGACGGTGGGTATTTGTAATCTTGAAAGTTCGAAACCTTGGAAATTTGGTGCATTGGTAATTCCGAATTTTGTAAATTTGATACATTAGTAATTTGGGACGATGGAATTTTAGAACTTCAGAACTTCAGAAACTTAGAAACTTGGTACGTAATTTGAAACTTTGGAAATTTGAGAATATTTGAACTTTCTACATAAAAATCTTTGCGACACATACCCTTCGACACAGTGGGCTGCAGTGAGGATGTACCTAGAGCTGATGATGGAACCGCCACAGAAATGTCTGCCATTTTGTCTCAGAGAGACTTGGTAAGGAAACATTCCTGAGGAGGCATCTCGGCCACCGACGATTCGGGACTCGAGGTCTCCTGCATTCACAAAATCACGGTTATTTCGTTTTGATCTTATAGACACATGCAAACGATAATATTTGTACATTCACTGCCATAAAGTATTATCAAATAATATAGAAAAATGACAAATTACAAATTATAATCGGTATTACTATTAGTATGTAAGTATGAAAGATTTGTTAGTTTCAAGATTATACGTACCGAATGCCGAGGCAACTAGGCACAGAAGAAGAGAAACGCTGAGAGCTTTCATGTTGAAAGATGTTGCGAATCAAGTGAAAAAACTAGCAGCATCGCTTTATATACGTACCGACACTATAAATCTCGTCGATAAGAATAAACAATGTATTTAATTTTTATAGTGCGAAAATCTGAGTCGATAAGGGATATCGATTGATTAATTTTCAATCAATAGTGTAATCTTTTAAGTGTCAGCTCTTATGAAACGTTCCTTGTCGGTTATTTAATTAAGATATTAATACGTGCTTGAACTAGTGTTTGCAACTAGTATTTAATTAATACGTCAAAGCTTATGATATTTGTTTTTTTCTGCAAAGTTCTTGATAACTCTACGATATCACCAATGTACAGGAATGTTGATTTAGTGATTTGTATAAAATGAGTATATACGTAAAATAAATCAATGCACTGCAATAAAATATGAATTTAAATTGAAATGTATAGAGAAAGTAAAAGTGGGGAAAATGTATTTCTGAGTAATCATTGTATGTATTGATGATTTTGGAAATAAATATTCAATTTGTGAAGGAGTGCAGTTAGAAATTCGCTAATGGGAAATTTTGCATTTCGATTTTGATTTCAAGATCAATGCTAAAGTAAACAATCGAAATGAGAGAATGCTTTGCCTCGATTGATATGCTGACATCACCATTCTGTTCATTGCAATACATTATCATACACGACCCTTTTTGTTTGGTTGTCTAAGATTTAACACGTTGAGCCGTCAGCCATCAGTGGCTGACACTGAACTTCCGTTTAGGTCATGTCAGCCATCAGTGGTTGACACTGAATTTGTCCATTTAGGATGCATCAACCACCAATGGCTGAAATGACCTAAACGTCAATACAATACAATCCCGCAATAAATAAAAATGAAGTAAATTTTCAATAAATTATCAGTAATTACTTATAACAATGTAAATTTTGTAATTTTATATCTATTTTACACATATTTTACACTGCCAGCCATCGGTGGTTGACACTGAACTTGTCAATTTAGGATGCATCAACCACCGATGGATTGACAATGTAACATATGATGTAAAATTAAAAAATTTACATTGTTAAAAGTATTTACTGAAAATTTATTTAAAATTTACTTAATTTTTATTTATTGCAAGATCGTATTATTAATGTATTTAAATATTTCTTTCGATTATTCATTGCGAGCCCTGAATGGGATTTTCATAAGAATTAGTATGGCACTCAAAGTATTAAATAAAGCTGATGGTTGTCCGATACGGGAACAGGCATGCAATAATCCATAAGAGATTTTCAAAATTAACAAAAAAATGCTAATTGACCTCTGCCTCTCTTCCTTTCTCTTCTATCCTCTTTCTCCCACACCTCTTTTTTTCTTTTTAACGTGGGGGAAATCTTCGAAAGATAGATTTCTACGGCTAAAATCCCCACGGTGCGGTGGTTCTTTCAAGATGCATTGCATTTTTCAATGCATCTGCAGTCTCTCCGAATTTTCCACCTTTCCATTGTAATTACTTTTGACTTTTTTTTTCTTGGTAACTTTCCCAGAATCATAACGAATAAAATAAAAAAGGAATTACAAATATCCATCGTTCGAATCCATAACCGTGAGTTATGGCTTTGAGTTCATACTAAAATTCTGTAGAAGAAACATATTCTCTTATTTCCGAACTGTTCATTTTTCTGCGCAGCTTACCCAATTTTTCTTTCCCTATAAACCTTATTCCTACTATTACGAATATTCTTTTTTAAAAATTAGTTAAATTCTCAATCATTCTTATTATTTTCAAATAGTGCGCTTATAATCGAGCAGCGTTTAATTTTTATTTGTATAGATATAGATAGATAATGATAATGTAGACATTTATTGTTCAGATTACTTTGATTTATCCGTTGGAGATTGTAGACATTGCTTACGTGAACGAAGTGATCGATGATGCAAGCAACATCGTATTTCAACGAAAAAGAAAACGCATTATTGTTATCTAACGTTTCAATCAGGTTTTTCCTTGACTAGAGCAAACTGTATGCACTTTCTTTGTAATAATGCATATTCAATTATTTATTAATTTCTCCGTTATTAAATATTTTATTTAATAAAAATTTCTATAATAATTAACCTCTATGATCCATGATGATTATTACAAATAATGTTAATTACTTTTAATAGTCCATTGTAATATACGATACATTATTATAGGCAATGATTAGATCTTAAATTTTGTATAGTTACAAGGCGCCGTAAAAGCAATAATTCTGTAAAAGGATAATGTATTCTCTAAAATACGAAAGAAATTGATGTCCTAAAATTGCTGTAATCTCTATTTAAGTTATTCTGTGCCTAACTGTGTACTGATTAATACTTCTGACTTGTGGTCAGAATACTTCTGATTTGTAGTCTATCAAAAATGAAATAATTTATAATTTTATACAGCTATGAGAATTGCAAATATCTGTCTATTTTCAAACTAAAGCATTGTTCTCTTAAAAACAGTATTTCATTGATGAATTAGAAGCAGAAGGTAAGTACATAAGGAAATAAACAGGGGATATGTAAATTTGAAGATTTAGGATAATATAAATACTATTTATGTACAATTGTGAAGAAGAATTTATTGTAGCAGTATAGATCGCCGAAAGTAAAACAGTCATTACTAACAATCTCGTAAGAAGAATTTTGTATTGTTAATCATTAACAACAATTAGGAAAATATTATTATCATCTGTCTAAGCAACCAAGACAGAGTCTTCGGGAAGTAAACTGAATTCGGTGTCTGCGAGGTACGTCTGTTGTTGTTTGATCCAGGGTATGAAAGATGACACTCTGGTGTAGACATCAGGCTTTCCGACACCGCAAGGTATTCCAAAGGATACGACACCAACTTGTACGTTGTTGACAACAAGAGGACCACCAGAGTCACCCTAAAAATTATGAAAAATGTGTGAAAGAAAAGTTTTATTTCACTTGTATTACGTGGGGTAAAAAATGAGTTATATTTCTACTTACATTGCATGCACCTTCTCCGTATTTGGTGAAAGTACAGATGTGAGAATTCCCTACGTTGCTGTGTGTCTGTTTGCACTGTGCCACACTTAGAACGTTCAGGTTTATGTACTGCAGATTGTTTGGTACATTACCGCCAGCCTGAACAGACAAATTTAATTAAATCTTTCATGCACTTGCAATCGAGCGAGTTGTTATTAAATATTTTTCTGTAACTTTCGTCTTGAAGATGAGTTTATGATTTTAATGAAACCAGGCAAATTTATTTCGAAAACGAAAATACTCGAAATAAAATAATCAGAATGTGACACTTACCTTAAGAGTTCCCCATCCGGACAAAACGCAGGATGCTCCATCATAAGAGTTGCTGCCAGAGGCTAATGAGATGGGTTTGATCAAATTGTTGAAGGCAATGTTTCTATCGACACGGATTACAGCTACATCGTTGACAAGAGTTCTTTGACTGAATCCATTATGATAGACAGCTTTCTCCACTCCGTAAGAAACTCCACCCGAGTTCAACTGGGTTGATCCAGCTACGACGGTGATGGCTTTCAGGTTGCTCAGTCTATCGAACAAATGCACTTCGTTAACCTTGATGCATTATTTGGGAATTCAGAATCTTAGAAGTTTGGAAGCTTGAAAATCTGGCATGTTTGAAATTTGCAATTTAAGAAATTTGGTACCTTGGTAATTTAGAGTTATTGATTTTTAGAACTTGAGGAGTTTAAAAACTTGAAAATTTGGTGCAGGTTTAGTTTTACAATTTTGTAAAATAGGACGTTGGTAATTCACGACCATAGGTATTTAGAACCTTGAAAGTTTTAGAACTTGAAAAATTGGTATATTGATAGTTTTGAAACAGTGAGAATTTCGTACGGTGCTGATTTGAACGGTGGGCATTTGTAATCTTGAATGTTAGAAACCTTAGAAATTCGGTGCATTGGTAATTTCGAATTTTGTTAATTTGACGCATTAGTAATTTCGGACGATAGGATTTTAGAATTTCAAAACTTTAGAGACTTAAAAACTTTGTACGGAATTTGAAACTTTGGGAATTTGGGAATATCTGAACTATGTTTGCATAATAATGTTTGCGGCACATACCCTTGGACACACACATACCCTTGGACACAATGGGCTGCAGTGAGGATGTATCGCGAGCTGATGATGGAACCGCCACAGAAATGTCTGCCATTTTGTCTCAGGGAGACTTGGTAAGGAAACTTTCCTGAGGGAGCTTCTCGGCCACCGACAATTCGGGAATCGAGGTCCCCTGTATTAACAAAATCACAGTTATCTCCTTTTTGCTTTTATAGACATGCAAATAAATATATTTGACACATTCACTGTCACAAAATACTGTCGAGTAATATAGAAAAAGGATAAATTACAAATGATAAATGCAATTATTGTCAGTATGTACGTACGAAAGATTTCTTCCTTTTAATATGAATATACTTACCGAATGCCGAGGCTACTAGGCACAGAAGAAGAGAAACGCAGAGAACTTTCATGTTGATAGCTATCGCGAATCAAGTGAAGAAAACTGGAACCAGTGCTTTATATACCCAAACCATGAATCTCGTTGATAAGAATAAACAATACTTTTAATTTTTGCAATGTAAAAATCTGTATCGATAAGGGACATCGATTCATCCATTTTCAATCAATAACGTAATCTTTTAAGTGCCGGCTCTTATGAAACTTTCCTCGTAGGTTATTTTGTTAAAGCACTAATGGGTATTTAACTAGTGTGTACTTGTACTAATACGTCAAAGCTTGTGATATATATTTTTTCTTCGAAGTTCCTGATAAGTGTACAATATCGCTAATGCACAGAAGTATTAATTTACTAACCTTGTATCGAATGAGTACATACGTAAAATAAACCAATGCATTGGAATAAAATACGTATTTAAATTATTTGTTCGTTAGGTATATTATTGTTAAATTTCTTGAAAAATTTTGATATTACCTTGAGATTTTATTGTTAGGACATTTTGAAATTTTAGTGTATCGAAATCTTGGATCTCGAAATTTAATAATAATTTAATAATATCGGCAATGATGACGTATGGAATTGTTAAACTTCAGAATTTTCTTGATTTTTCAACTTTGAGATTTTGACCGAGTGTACATATTCAAAACGAAATCATCTTTTAATAACTGTAAGGATTTGCTAAATACTATTTCCGTTTAAAGTATATATAGACATAGTAAAGACATAGTAAAGTAGATATATTAGACATACACAGTATTAAATTAATGTTAATCATCCGACAAGATTATTACAACGGATGATAGTTAATTTTAATGGACGATTATAATAATAACAACTGTAACATCAGTGCAAGTAATGATTTGATTAAAAATTTTTAATAATTATCGAACGCTCCACGTATATCAAAAGCAATAATACTGTAATATCATAATGTACTCTCCAAAATAAACAAGGAATTTGTATCTTAAAATTTTTGTAATCTTATTAACTATTTGTGTAACAGACTGTCTGTTACAGATGAATACTACTAACTGTAAATTACATTTATTTTCTACTGGGAGTTAAACAATTTATAATGTAACAGAACAAAATGAATTACAAATATCTCTGAATTTTGAAATTAAATCATTGTTACTTTGAAAGCATTCGATTAATGAATCAAAGCAGAACCCAAGTAAATAAAGAAAATAAACAGGAAATATAGAAATTTAAGGATTTGGGAAAATATGAATACTATTTACGTATAGCAGTGAAGAAGAATTTATTATAACAGTAATTTTTGATTACGTTCGATCGCTAGAAGTAAAACCGCCATTATTAACAATTTCGTTGAAATACCTTGTATCGTTAGTCATCAGCAACAATTAGAAATTATCATTTATTTAAACAATTAAGACGGAGTCCTCGGGTAGTAAAGCATATTCGGTATTTGCGAGATATATCTGTTGTTGCTTGATCCAGGACTGAAAATATGACACTCTGGTGTAGACATCAGGCTTTCCAACACCGCAAGGTGTTCCGAAGGATACGATACCAATCTGTATGTCCTTCACAACGAGAGGACTACCAGCATCACCCTAAAAATGATAAGAGTGTAATTAGCGTGTCATAAGATCAGACGTGTAACTTTTCCTCCCTCGCATAAGGGAATTCAAAATTTATTATTTTTTCATGGTGTCTTGAGATTTCTTTTAAGAACAGTAATATTGCAACATGATATTGTTATTATAATGTTTTAAAAGTTTGCCATGCAGTCAACTCATAATGAGTGACTTCTCAATGAAAAATAACAACAATAAACATTCTTTTATTAATTTATAATGTGTTCATACAACGTGCTAGTAAATTCACTGTAGGACTGCAGTAGCTCTCTTCCACCTCTTCTATATAATATTTTTTCCAAAATAAACAAATTTCAGAAGTCTTTAAAGTATCCGTAAAGTATGAAGGGATGTAATTATTCTATTGCAAATGGCAAATATACAAATTAATGCATCGCGGGTCAATTCCTTTTTCGAAACATGATTTTATACATGCAAATTGGAATTTAATTGTTACGCTATCTACTCACAATTAAGCGAACTACAGATATCTTTAGTATTTGTATCGGCGAAACTTTGAAAAATCGTCATACTCCGATATTGATTGATTGATTTTATATGGGCCTCGACTGCTATCATCATTGGCCCACTCCGATATTGTCTTATTGACAGAAATGTGATGATCATCAGAGTTATCGGTTAAGAAGAGTTCTGTTATCAAAGCTGCCGAACAAGAAGAATTCTATTTATATTTGTGAACAAATGATTAATATTTAAAGCAATCGTCGTTTGATCGAATTCAATTTTATTTTAAAAACAAAATTGTTTGCTATTCATTCTGTAATCAAACCTTAATTCAAGAACATATATTAAAAATACATTTTGAATCAATTCTAATAAAATCAGTTATTTTGCAAAGTTATTAATTGATTGATTATTAAAATATTGGAAGACAATTCCGATTGAAATCCTTAGGCTAACTAGGATTAGTCTAAGAATGATTCAAAATGAATAATAGTTTGGTAAAATCAAAACAATTCATAGTTAATTAGTCTTGCACTCCGATGCAATTCAATTTACATTAATAGTCAATTAAACTAATAAAATCACTACATAAATCAAATTGAACGGAAAATATAGGAATTGTTTTCCTATATTGTAATAATCAATTAATTAATAACTTTGCAAAATAACTAATTTTATTGGAATTTATTTTGAATTTAATTTGAATACATGTTCTTGAATTAAGGTTTGATTACAGAGTGAATAGTAAACGATTTTGTTTTTAGAATAAAATTGAATATGATCAAATAACGATAGTTTTAAACATTAATCATTTGTTTACAAATGCAAATATAACTCTTCTTGATCGACGGTTTCGATAACAGAACTCTTCTTCACCGACGACTCTGATGATCACTACAGAAATTAGGCTAATTAGGATCAGCGTAAGAATTAAAGCGTGTAATTAAAGAGAGTAATTAGCGTAAGATTAGAAACGGATAATAGAGAGCAATTCAATTCACATTACAATCAATCAAGTTAATAAAATCAACTACATAAATTAAATTGAACGGAAAATGATACACGTGGCTCCCACTAGGTGCGAAGTATGAAAATTAAGTAAACTACGGTTTCAAAAACGTGTAGTTCGCTCTGTTTGCTGGAGAGATGGCGCTACGTAAATATGAAACAAAAATTGAAATTTAAATTAAGAATTGTTAGACAAAAATATTGTTCCAAAAAAGATAATTTATTTCATTTGTATTGTGTACAAATGAGTTAGAAATTTACTTACGTCGCATATACCTTCGCCATATTTGGTGTAAGTACAGATGTGAGAATTTTGTACACTTCTGTATGTCTCCCTGCACTTTGGTACGCTTAGGACGGTTAGATTTATGGACTGCAGATTGTTTGATACATTACCACCAGTCTGTACAGACAAAACGATATAAAATATTTCATTTGCGGCATTCACTTTCAATCGATTTAGAAAATTTTACAATATCTTCTGTAACTTTTTTCTTGAAAATGGGATTAACCCCTTCCCGTGCTTTGACGAGTCTCACTCGTGACGCACTCACAACTCAAATGTGATTAATGTTACTCAAATTTTGAATACTCTTCAACTTGAATTTTAGATCCAACTATAATTTGCGTTGTCAAGGATCCCTGAATATAAAATACTTAGAACATTTTAATTTTCTTTGTTCGTTTTAATGTTATAGTCCTGAATGGTTAGTCTTGACTGACGCACCTCATAAATAAATGGCACGGCAAGGGGTTAAAAGTTTTAGAGAAAGCAGGCAAATTTAGCGTTTTTGGAGTTGAAAATACAAGATAGATTTCCGTGTTGAGAAAATTCATTTTGGCCGAATTTTAGAACTACAGCTATTTTGTAATACAACTATTTTCACCTCAAAAAGAAAACAATAATGTAATAGTACACATAATTCCATGAACAAATGTCACCACAGTCGTTTAATATAAAATACATTAAGACAGAAGTAAGTAGAGCAGAAATAAAAAGTCTCAATATTAATCTCTCTTAAAGCACTGTATCCCAAGTTATTCTCTATTCATGTTACCTTATTTATATTAATAAGATTAACAGATAAACTCGATATATCAAGAGTATACAAAATTAAAATAGATAATAATTATTTCTAGTTATCATGTCGCGAGTAAATGGGTAAACTGCTTTCAAAAACGTAATAATTCAAATTTCCCAAATAAGACTATGAAGAACCCATACGTAGTAATCAACGAGTTACCTCAAAATCATCAGAATGTTACACTTACTTGAAGCGACCCCCATCCGGATAAAACACAAGAATATCCATCGTAAGTTCTGCGACCCGAGGCCAATTTGATCGGTTTGACCAATTTGTTGAAGGTAATGTTTCTATTGACACGAATTACAGCTACATCGTTGACAAATGTCGATTGACTGAATCCTTTATGACGGACAGCCTTCTGCATTTTGTAAGAAACTCCACCCGAGTTCAACTGTGTCGATCCAGCTACGACAGTGATGGTCTTCTGGGTCTCCAATCTACCGAAACATACTTTGTTAACGTTGAAGCATTATTTGGGAATTCAGAACCTTAGAAGTGTAGGAGCTTGAAAATCTGGTACATTAGAAATTTGCAAATGAAGATATTTGGTATCTTGATAGCAATTTAGAATTTTTGCTTTTTAGAACCTTAAAAGGTTAAGAACTTGAAAATTTGGTACAGTGTTAGTTTTGTATTTTTGTGAAATAGGACGTTGGTAATTCACGATCATAGGTATTTAGAACTTTGAAAGTTTTAGAACTTGAAAATTTGGTACATTGATAGTTTTGAAACAGTGAGAATTTAGTGCGGTGCTGATTTGAACGGTGGGCATTTGTAATCTTGAATGTTAGAAACCTTAGAAATTCGGTGCATTGGTAATTTCGAATTTTGTTAATTTGACGCATTAGTAATTTCGGACGATAGGATTTTAGAATTTCAAAACTTTAGAAACTTAAAAACTTTGTACGTAATTTGAAGCTTTGGGAATTTGGGAATATCTGAACTATGTTTGCATAATAATGTTTGCGGCACATACCCTTTAACACAGTGGGCTGCAGTAAGAATGTGTCGAGAGCTGATGATGGAACCGCCACAGAAATGTCTGCCATTTTTTCTCAGGGAGACTTGGTAAGGAAACTTTCCTGAAGGGGCATCACGGCCACCCACAATTTGTGTTTCGGGGTCTCCTGAATTCACAAAATCACGATTATTACCGTTTTAGTTTTATGGGTACATAAATAAAAATATTTGATTTAATGTCAAAGAGTATAATGTAGAATCGAGTAATGTAGAAAAGCGCAAATTACAATATATAAATGTTATTATTGTTACCTACATTATTATTGGAGAAAAATGTCATATGCAATAAAGAGTGAGGCCAAGATTGAATCCGATTTTCGCGAGAACAGGGTCGAGATTCTCACGGAAACATATACCTATATTCATGATCAGCGTTACGAGGCCTCTAATTTGTACCAAACATGACCACAATCCCTTCTACGAAAAAATCATTTTCATTGGTCCATGGAGCTTGGCTTCACTCTTCAAATGAAACAAAAAATATTCGTTTAAATGCCTGTTTATTTAAGTAAATGTTTTCCCCACACTAAATATCTTTTTAAATAAATAATTATTTCTACAAATGTTCAAATAATTTGTAGAAACAAATTTTCTGCATGTTCTACATTATGTAGCACTTTTTATAACACATGTAATGACAAACTGTTCAATTAAAAAATTGACAAACTTTATTGCTATAAAATTAGAAATAATAATGTTATGAGATAGTAATGGTTACAAAAATACATGACAATTTACTGGAATCGATTTAATGGAATATCGATGTACTTTGCGGGCATAGGGTCTCGTGAATTTCAAGTCATTTCAAGCTACTACATGGTATTATCTTCGGTTTTGGGTCATTAAATGCTGTAAGTGTAATGTTTAATATGCACCTATATATGATTAAAAATACTTAATAATATAGAAAATATTGTACTTTTTATTTCTATATTTCAAGAGTACAAATACTTTTGTCCTCCACTGTATTTATTAAATTTTAGACTTTGTATTGTTGAACTGCATGCAATTCATTTAGGGTGTATGTGAATTGCTTTTCGAGTGCGAAGTTTTTATTCTCATTTCCTTAAGTAAGAAAATAATCCTTCATATAATACAGAGAATATTTGTCAATTCCTTTGAACATTTAACAAAATCGTGTATTAGTGCTCTTATACCGCAATGGATTTTCACTGTCCACCTACATTATTTCGTTAACGCATTCAAGTAAGGGTTGAAAATAAAAATAATAAACATGAGTAATATTTAATATCAAAGTACAAAAATACAGAATGTAGCGTGTAGTGTACAAGAAATTTGTTTCAAGTCGGAATTTTACAATTTTACTTCATTTCGTTGTCTTTCAATGAATTAATACACAAAATAAAAATTTGAAATAAATTTGAAGTCACGAACGTCCACGGTTGAACGTTCGTACCTTAGAAAAAAATGTATCAAAACAATTTTAATAAAGTGTGAAATGTTTTTTAGATTTAAGGTCATTATAGTTACCGAATGAGGTGGTAATTAGGCAAAGAAGGAGTGAAGCACTTAGACCTTTCATATTGGAAAGTATCGCGAAGTGAGCGAAGAAAACTTTGTCGTCCATTTTATATACGTAACGAAACCACAAATCTCTCGATAACGATAAACAAAATATAGAATTTTTAAGATATTAAATTTTTAGTTGATAACGATCATCGATTCATCGATTTTCAATTAGTAGTGGAATATTCTAAGCTTCGGTTCTTAATTAAATGTTTCCGTTGCGTATTTAATTAAGGTAATAATGGGTATTTTACTAATGAATGTAACTGTTATTTAATTAATTTATGGAAGCTTACGTTATTTGCCTTTTCTGTGAAGTTTCTGATAAATGAAGAATATGGTTAATACAAAGGAATATTGTTTTAATGAGTTATACAAAATTTGATTTACTGAATTACATTAAATGAGTACATACCTAAAATAAACCAATGCATTGCAATATAATATTAATTTAAATTATTTGTTTATAGGCGAGATTGTTGTTGATAAGTTCTCAGAGAAATTTAAATATTGGTTCTTTGAGGTTTTATAATTATCGAATTTTTTAATTTCGGTGCAACGAAATTTTGTTATTTTGAAATTTCGGAAATTAAGAGTATCAGTGATGAAGACCTATACTGATGAATTGTTTCATTTTTCAACTTTGGGATTTTTACCCAGTATAAATATTAAAAGCGAAACCAGTTTTTAATACAAACAGATTTATTAAATATTTCGGTTTGAAGCAAACGTATTAAAGATGTTGACAATTAACTTTAATGATCTGTCTTGGTTATTAAAAAACCAACAAAATAAACAAAGCATATTTGAGGATACAGGATTATACGAATTATGTTTACACACATTGTTGTACAACACTTTATTGCAAAATAAATAAATTTGAATTACATTTGTGATTGCCAAAAGTTAGAATAATATATCGTAAATCATTAGAGCTAATTAGGAACGTATAGTGCTCATCTGTTTAAGCGACCAAAACAGAGTCCTCGGGAAGAAAATCAAATTCGGTATTAGCGAGATATGTCTGTTGTTGCTTGATCCAGGATGTGAAGGAGGACACTCTGGTGTAGACATCAGGCTTTCCAACACCGCAAGGTATTCCGAAGGATACAATACCAACTTGTACGTTGTTGACAACAAGAGGACCACCAGAGTCACCCTAAAAATTATGAAAAATGTGTGAAAGATAAGTTTATTTCACTTGTATTACGTGGGGTAGAAAATGAGTTACATTTCTACTTACGTTGCATGCACCTTCTCCGTATTTGGTGAAAGTACAGATGTGAGAATTCCCTACGTTGCTGTGTGTCTTTCTGCACTGCGGCACGCTCAGAACGTGGAGATTTATGTACTGGAGATTGTTTGGTACATTACCGCCAGCCTGAACAGACAAATTTAATTAAATCTTTCATGTACTTGCAATCGAGCGAGTTGTTATTAAATATTTTTCTGTAATATTCGTCTTGAAAATGACTTTATGACTTTAATGAAACTAGGCAAAATTATTTCGGAAACGATAATATTCAAAATAAAATAATCATAATGTTACACTTACCCTAAGAGTTCCCCATCCGGACAAAACGCAGGACGATCCATCATAAGAGTTGCTGCCAGAAGCTAACGAGATGGGTTTAACCAAATTGTTGAAGGCAATGTTTCTATTGACACGGATTACAGCTACATCGTTGACAAGAGTTCTTTGACTGAATCCATTATGATAGACAGCTTTCTCTACTCCGTAAGAAACTCCACCTGAGTTCAAGTGGTTTGTTCCAACTACGACGGTGATGGCGTTCATGTTGCCCATTCTATCGAACAAATGTATTTTGTTAACGTTGATGTATTATTTGGGAATTCAGAATCTTAGAAGTGTAGGAGCTTGAAAGTCTGGTACATTTGAAATTTGCAGTTGAGGAAATTTTGTACCTTGATAATTTAGAGTTGTTGATTTTTAGAACCTTAGAAGTTTAAAAACTTGAGAATTTGGTGCAGGCTTAGCTTTGCAATTTTGTGAAATAGGACGTTGGTAATTAACGACCATAGGTATTTAGAACCTTGAAAATTTAGAACTTAAAAATTTCGTACATTGATAATTTTGAAACAGTGAGAATTTAGTACGGTGGTGATTTGGAAGGTGGGTATGTGTAATCTTGAAAGTTCGAAACCTTGGAAATTTGGTGCATTGGTAATTCCGAATTTTGTAAATTTGATACATTGGTAATTTGGTGCATTGGTAATTTTGAATTTTGTTAATGTGATACATTAGTAGATTGGGACGATAGGATTTTAGAACCTCAAAAGTTTAGAAACTTAAAAACTTAGTACGTAGTTTGAAACTTTGGGAATTTGGGAATATCTGAACTTGGTTTGCATAATAATGTTTGCGGCACATACCCTTGGACACAGTGGGCTGCAGTAAGAATGTGTCGAGAGTTGATGATAGAACCACCACAGAAATGTCTGCCATTTTGTCTCAAGGAGACTTGGTAAGGAAACTTTCCTGAGGGAGCTTCTCGGCCACCAACAATTTGGGGCTCGGGGTCCGCTGCATCAAGAAAATCACGGTTATTGTCTTTTCGGTCTTATAAATACATGTAAATAATAATATTTGACGCATTCACTGCTATAAAGTACTATCGAATAATGTAGAGAAGCATAAGTTACAAACGTTAAATGTTATTATTGTTAGTATGTGAGTATGAAAGATTTGTTAGCTTGAAGAAGATTATACTTACCGAATGCGGTGGCAACTAGGCAGAGAAGGAGAGAAACGCTTAGAACCTTCATATTGAAAGGTATTGCAAATGTAGTGAAGAAAACTGTGTCCACTGCTTTATATACGTACCGAGACCACAAATCTCGACGATAACGATAAACGTTATATGTAATTTTTTATGTATTAAAATCTCACGTGATAACGAACATCGATTCATTGACTTTTTATCATTTATCAAATCTTTGAAGTTTTGGCTGTTAAGAAACGTTTCTCGTCGTTTATTTGATTAAGATATTAATAGGTACTTGAACAACGCGTATAACTGGTACTTAACTAGTATATTTGTTTTTGATATATTTGGTATTTTGGTTTATTGGTATATTGGTATATTGGTGTATTGGTATATTGGTGTATTGGTATATTAGTATATTGGTATATTGGTATATAGGTATATTGATATATTATTTTGTGACTTCAAATTAACTAAATTAAAAAATTTTTTTAAACATTGCAGTACATAGAAGTGTGTAGTCCAAAATTATTTTCAAAAGCTTTCGAATCGCAAAAATTTGAAAAACTTTTCTTTAAATAATAAGAAATACAATATTTACTGCCATTAAGAAGAAACCATAAACATTATACAGAAACGGTAGAATGGGTGGAATAAGTGACCAAAGCTGTTTGCAAATCATTAGAGTTGAATAAGGGTCGTGTCCGCAAGGAATAAAGGGTGAAAGTACTAATATGGCTGCCTACATCCCAAATCATGTTAATGTCTTAAAGAAATTTTCCCAATTTCTGGAATTTCATTAACGTCAGCATTACATATTAAAACACAATCTCCTACAACTTCCTAATCAATCTCACTTGAACATAATCAGTTAACGACGACTTGAAGTTACGAATCTGCTTTAAAATTAGACACGTAATTGTTGATCAATATCTGGCAATCTTTTGCGCAGTAGATTCATGTACAAATGAATTACATTGAAAGTGAATGAAATTAAGTTCCGAAATCAAGATTGTATTTTATCGAGTCAAGCAAAGTCGAAAAACAGGAAATTTTTGATGGTGTACAGCGTTATACATCGATAATGTGTATAATAAAGCATTAATCAGAACAAAATTAAATGATTTTGTTTATATTTTTTATTTAAGAAAATATCTGCGATTTATTACGGAAATTATTGTTCTTTGAAATTTCTTTAAATAAAAGTTCTCATGAAACAGTTATTTTGGAATTTGTGTCAAGTTTGATAAAAATAAGTTCTTTGGTATTTTGAAAAAGGTTTGAAAGATTGATAAAATTACGAAGTTTAATACATTTTTTTTAGGGATATTCATATGTTTGTATCATAAAGGATATGAAAATAATTAATAATTTTATTCAGAAATATGTTATTTATATATTTATTTCATAAGGGACATGAAAATCAATTGGTCAGGTAACGATTGTGCAATATAGGATGAGAACAGTTGGAGGAAGGATATTAGCAAGATCGTATAAATATACAAGTCCCCAGTTTATACTAACCCATAGTTAATAGCAGACATAGTTCGTAAACGAGGCAAGTGCGTATACAGGCTACTTTTATTACAATATGAGCGAAATTTCTTCATTTAGTATGTTTCTATCCTTGTTTTGTTTCACTATATCCCCTTTTATATTTCAGCTAAGAGTACTTGTTCGCAGTATAGAGTACTTGCATAATGCAGTAAAAAGCATTTTATAGCAAATTTGCTAATAATTCTGCTCTTGCCCCATTGCACATGAAATAAAGTTTCAAAGTATTTAACTTCAAGTTACGCTCTAATCCCATTTTCGGGGAAAGTGCAGAGTAGTTGACATTTTAAACAATTTCCTATCAAAATCAAAATGTACAAGGAAAATTAAAGTTCTAGTTAATATTAATGAAATAGTAGTAATTGTGCAAAGCGTTCGATATTGACAGCGTTAAGTATTTACATAGCAGACTGAAAATACTTACGCTTAAATACCAACTTTACAAAAGCCAGTCTGCACTTACCCCACTTCACCTTACTATAATATCTAATAACTTGCAATTAAATTTACAACTTGAAAAAACGAAAATACTTATCAATTTTATATTATAATACATATTTAATGCATATTAATACATTTTCTGTATGTACAGAGTTGTACAGCTAATTATAAGTATTATTATATCATTTAACTAACAATTGTTTATTACATTTAATTTGCAGTAAATTTAACCATAATAATTGATATTACAGTGCTATTAAACAAATAGTATTCTGTTCTTACTACAATGAATAAGAATTTTAATATCTGTACCTATCACACAAAATTTTGTATTTCTCGATATTTAAATTTTTGTTCATGTTCAAATTTATTTCTTTTCCTCATCCAAAGTAAGATGAAATTATTTTTTAGAAACGTCCGATGATTTATGTTTTACTCAAAATTTTACTCTGTTAATAAGTTAGCTTCTAATAAGAACATGTTGAAAAGTTAGCTTCTAATAAGTTAATTGCTAATAAGAACAGCGTCAAGTAATTTGATGTATTGTGTATTCTGCAAATGAATATACCGAGGCGTTTCTAGTAATTCTCGTAGTATTCATAGGGGATTTCCCGTCCCTAAGGATCAGGATAGAAGGCGATTGCGAATAACAAGAACCCTTCGTCGACCGCGAGTCTTGATCCTGTTAACAGGATCATCCGAACACTGCTGATAGAACCAAAGACCGTGAGATAAAACCGAACTCCCTTGGACCTCTTTCTGGCTGTTGTTTCGGGGTCATTGGATCGATTCGGGGAGTAGTATATTTTTCTTCTTGGAAGGATTTGGTCCGAAGCTTTTCTTTCTTACGAGTGGGATTATTCTATGGAAAACAGAATTTTTCCGTCGTTGTAAGATGCGATTGCACCGATTTTAAATTCGTCGCAAGGAAATAAAATCACTAAATATAGTTAAAATCTGTAGAGAAGGCTTCGATTTGACTATAATATCTAATAACTTGCAATTAAATTTACAACTTGAAAAAACGAAAATACTTATCAATTTTATATTATAATACATATTTAATGCATATTAATACATTTTCTGTATGTACAGAGTTGTACAGCTAATTATAAGTATTATTATATCATTTAACTAACAATTGTTTATTACATTTAATTTGCAGTAAATTTAACCATAATAATTGATATTACAGTGCTATTAAACAAATAGTATTCTGTTCTTACTACAATGAATAAGAATTTTAATATCTGTACCTATCACACAAAATTTTGTATTTCTCGATATTTAAATTTTTGTTCATGTTCAAATTTATTTCTTTTCCTCATCCAAAGTAAGATGAAATTATTTTTTAGAAACGTCCGATGATTTATGTTTTACTCAAAATTTTACTCTGTTAATAAGTTAGCTTCTAATAAGAACATGTTGAAAAGTTAGCTTCTAATAAGTTAATTGCTAATAAGAACAGCGTCAAGTAATTTGATGTATTGTGTATTCTGCAAATGAATATACCGAGGCGTTTCTAGTAATTCTCGTAGTATTCATAGGGGATTTCCCGTCCCTAAGGATCAGGATAGAAGGCGATTGCGAATAACAAGAACCCTTCGTCGACCGCGAGTCTTGATCCTGTTAACAGGATCATCCGAACACTGCTGATAGAACCAAAGACCGTGAGATAAAACCGAACTCCCTTGGACCTCTTTCTGGCTGTTGTTTCGGGGTCATTGGATCGATTCGGGGAGTAGTATATTTTTCTTCTTGGAAGGATTTGGTCCGAAGCTTTTCTTTCTTACGAGTGGGATTATTCTATGGAAAACAGAATTTTTCCGTCGTTGTAAGATGCGATTGCACCGATTTTAAATTCGTCGCAAGGAAATAAAATCACTAAATATAGTTAAAATCTGTAGAGAAGGCTTCGATTTGAGCTTCAAAAATAACGAATTAAGAAATAAACATTTTTGTAAACTAACAGTCTAGTTTGGATGTTATTTTTCATTTCTTGAATTCTTATGATCTCATTTTTCAGGTGAAAATTTTTCAAGATTGTGTATATGATGTATGCAATTTTTTACTGTTCTTGTTCTGCTGCAATAAAATCACTCTTTAAACTAATCAATTATTTCAGATGTTACAGAAAAGTTCAAACTACTTTATATGAGTGGAAGAAGCTTAGAATTTATTTAGAAAAATACATATATAATACATTTAGAAAAAATATATATATTAAATATCTGTAGTACGTATCTATTTAAATAACATAGCAATTAATTTTAAAAATGTATGTTTAGAAAAGTACCTCCAATAAGTAATTATTTACAAAAATACTTATACCAGGAAACTATTTAGAAAATACCTATATTACCTATAATAGAAAACCTATAGCAAAAAATTTTTATACAAAATACCTGTATTAAATTGCTGTTTAGAAAAAATATCAATATGAATAAAATAGTGTAAATTAATGTAAAGTACTATAAATTATACTATAGTAAATTCCTATAGTATAATACCTACATTATTTAAAAAAAATATGCAACGTTCTAAACATGGCGAAGTTTAAAACAATTATATATAATGTTTTACGATAAAGTCATTCTAGTCATTCTGATTAAGATCTTTTCGTTCCGGAATTTAAACCTTGAACTTCGTACTTAGCAAAATTAATAATCAATATATTACTAGTGACACTAGAAATTTCTTTTTTCTCTGTCGACTATTTTAGATTTAATGATATAAATTAATTAATATCGCTGTGGTTCTACTTACTGTTATTTTTAGATATAATAGAAGCTATTATCTAGTGTTGATTATTATCAAATAATGGATTGCATAAATACAGATAATAAAAACTAGAGATTTATCTCTTTAGATCTTATTAGATTAAATTTTTGTGTTGTTGGTTTATTGGTATTCTTAATATTACGTTTTTGATACGTTAATTGATAAAAATTATATCTCCTAATTTTAAGATTTATTTGACTTAAATTGAATTTAATGGTATAAATGTCTTAATACTAATTTGTTTACCTGGATTAAAATTAAACACTCTGATTTGATATGTACACC